TAGCCTAAAGATTGGTGGGTTCAAACCCACCAGCCGCTCCTGGAGAGAAAGATTACAACCTTGGACACTTTGTGGAGCAGTTCTACTCTTACTATGAGTGAAAATCAACTGGACAGCAGCCGGTTTAGGTTTTTGACTAGGCCTTCCCTCCAACTGTCAGATGGAAACATTGACTAACAGTGGAATGGGCTGTAGATAAGATATTTGAATGAAGCAGACAAGTGCTTCATTTGACAAGGAGCTAGTGAGGAAAGCTGGGACGCTTGGTTCAAACAATAATTAAAGAAGGATAGAAAGAACCAGTTAAGAATTCCACAGTGTGCCAGCGAGAGGTTTGTTTCTGTTGGTCTGGGGCTGTTAGCATGCAGGCACTGAAGGTCTGGCTAGCTTACAGTTTAGACAAGGGGCTCCCTGGGCGTTTGGTCAGCCAGTCCCCTGGCACAGTTCCCGGTTAGAAGTTAGACTTTTGTTCCTAGAACATAGAAACCCACCAGCTTCTCGCTACCTGTGGGCAGGTGGGTGCTCAGAACAGCAGATGTTCCAGAGAGGAGACTAGAAATCTGCCAAGAACTGTCCCAGGGTGAGGACTCGTGCTGGTGGTCAGGGCCATCAAGCGGACTGACTCACAGCAACCATGTGACAGAAAGAACCTCCCTGCAGGCTTTCCTAGGAACACACCTCTAGGTCTTTCTCCCTGGAAGCCACTGGGTGGGTTCAAACCACAAACCTTTTGGTGGGCCGAAGAGTGCTTTTACCATTTTGCAACCCTTCCCTACCCTATTTTGTGAACCATTGCTGCTGTCTTAAGCTGCTGTCCAGTCGGCCCCAACTCACAGCGACCCCATGCACAGTGACATGGCGCTGTCCCCAAGGTCAGTGGCAGGTGGGACCACTGTGTCCCATAGGGTTTCCATGGGCTCATTTTCAGAAGTAGATTGCCAGGCCTTTCTTCCTAGCCTGTCTAACTTTGGAAGCTCGGCGGAATCCTTTTCCGCATCATTGTGACATGCTGGCCTCCACTGGCAGTCAGGTGGTGGCTGCACGTGAGCTAACACTGACCGGGAATCAAACCCAGTTCTGCATACTCACTGCCGTGGAGTTGGATCTGACTCATAGCGGCCCTTCCTTGGGTTTCTGAGGCAGTATCACTACGGAAGTAGGTTGCCCAACCATCTTTCTGAGGAGTGGCTGGTGGGTTTGAACCGCCAGCCTTGTGGTTAGCAGTCACGTGCCTTAGGCACTACACCACCGGAGCTCCCCCTGTTCTCCTGC